CGGGACCTTATTAGGGAGTCCGTGTAAGAGCTTGAAACCTGGGCGAGGAGACAGGTAGTATGCTCGCCTACGCCCAGGGAGGGGACCCGCTTGCTTTTTTAGCATTAAAATAGAGGAAAAAATCTCCAAATCCAAAGGAAAGTTCTCGTCATAGAATAAGGAGATCGTCCCCACTAAATTCCTAACGGAGTTCGGGTGAAGCTGGCCGACCGTCACACTGAAGTGGTTTAGAACCTCGACGAGAAGAGGATGGAAAGGCAATCGCAGCCCCGCAGCGAGCTGCTCCCGGAAAATCACGATCTCATCAGGACCGTGTTCCCAAGGGAAGCTACCCGTAGGGATGAAGTAGGCGTGCTCCCCGGGCAAGTTGTAGTAGTTTATGAGGGATTGAAATCCCTCAGGCGTCATAGTTGAAGGGCCGAACTGATCTAAAGCCCAGCCACAACGGGAGGTGGACGCCGACCTACCCGAGGCACCTCGGCCTGTAGGTTCAACCTCTTCCTCAGGACCTACATCGGGCTCACTTGAACTACCGGGGGACGCAAATTGGTTCGTAGAACCTACATCAGACCCGCTTGAACTGTCTGGACCCTCCGAACTAGACATCAGGGAATGGAACGGGATTCCAAGAGCACTCACCCGAAAAGAAGACTGAAGTAGACCACGAAAGCTCGAACAAGCAAGGAACCTGGGACGCGAGCTGAAGAGCCTGGACGCGAGTTGACACTTAGGCGCGAGCTCAAGAGGCACAGTAGCAAGAACTGGGCCCCCCCCGCTATTTATATCCACAGCGGCCGGAAAGCGACGGCCCAGATCGAAGCCAATCCAACGGCCCACAGCAGCGCTAACCGCACGTCTTCCGAAGCTGACCAGCGCACGTCTTTCCGAAACTGATGAGGCGTCGCGCACGTCCTGTCAGAGATGACGAGGTGTCAGTACGCATCTTCTCGAAACTGACAGGGTATCAGCGCACATCTCCTCGCAATAAAAGCATCTGCAGCACGACTCCCGAACGGCTACCATCACATCTCCCAAACGCGCGCCTTTTTTGAAAATCAAATTAAAGCGAGCGCCCTCAGTACGGACCAAAATCCTCCTGCTACCTTACGAACTCCCCGCGCTAAGACAGGACCCTTGTCGCAGGGAGTGGGGGGCAATTGATGAAGGGAAATTTGACCCGACCTCGCAATCACCCGACACATGGCAAAAGCAAGCAACTTGGTGCAGCAGAACGCCCAAAACGAGCACTGAAAGTAACGATGTCCAAGCTCACTACTGAGCCCGAACTCCACCAGAYCGGATTCTCTACTAGGAGCCC